TCCTTCCAACTCCAGCCTGAGTAGACAGCAACTCAAATTTCCACTTCAGAAATGAATTAATTATGGCTCAGGGAGATTAAGCCACTTGCCCTAGGTCCCACAAATGTCACACAGAACAAACTGCCATTATTAGGGACCAAATGAACTAAAAATAATGATAGGTTCCTAGCTTACATTCAGTTTATGGCTTGTTATAATTACTTATTTTCTGCTCTACTAGTGCCACGTCAGGATTTCATAGTCTACATCATGTGCTTTGTTGTCAAGTTTACCTCACCACCAATTTATAAGGGTAATAGTTTTTTTTCCAATTTTCCCAGTTGTAGAGTTAGGCAATTCCACAAAATTCAGAGTTCTGTGTGGCTGACCCAACATTTGTGCACAGGGTCAGAGATTAAGCATCCAAGCCAGTGTGTGGCATGCTTTACAACTAAGATACTGYACTTTAGTGAGGAAATTATCCCAGCTTTACTGTCCAATCAAGATAGGAATAGTACCTCTATTTTACAGCTATGTAGCACTTTAACAGAAAACTGCTTCACAAAGCAGAGGCAAACTATGATTCCTGACATGGCAATACTCCAAAAACTCTATGTCATGGCAGGSATGTCCACYGCACTGGCAAAGTGACTAACACAYGTTCAAGTCACGAAAATTCCATGATGAGCAGACAGTGTTCATTTTCTCAGGTCAGTGTTTTGATAAAAATTAAACTCCCATTATCTGATTTGACACAAAAACTCTAAGGTTTACCTCCTGTTAACAGAAGTAACTGGGAACAAAATTATCCACAGGTACTAAAAAGTGGCAACCACCAGAGAGGGAAAGCGACATCAAATAGAAGTTGAGCAAAGTTCAGCTAAGCTTTGATGTAAAATGCTGCAAACCCTTCTCAGCAAATATTGCCCTAGTAAGTGCAATAATATTAAAAACAGAATACCAAAATGGGTAACTGCAGTCTTAGCCTGCCAGAGACTCAGTGTAGTGACAGGACAATATATGCCAAGGATTCTTGTTCATTATTCACACAGTAAAAAACATCAGACACATGATTTCATATAATCCTGAGAACCACTCTAAAAGATAGATAGTATTTAGAAATGAAAACCCCCAGAATCACTGGAGATAAAGTACCTGGCCCAAAGTTACACAGTGGTAGAACTTATATTAAAATATAGTGGTKTGATTCCAAAACTTGACATGCTTCTTTTTAAAAAATCTATGCTGCCTTTCAGTTATTGGGAGAAAAGTTCAGAATACGTACCAATGGAGAAAAAAAAAAAAAGATGAACCATGAATTAATATCTTTATGAATATAAATATTTTTCTTTAGGAATAGCACTAGATTAAAAGTTTACAAAATGATGAAATCTTGATCAYTGGACACATTCTTGCAATAATCTCTTTTAATTGGCATTCTTGTAAAAAGAGGTTTTCTGAAGCAAAAAAAATACCTGTCCATTTTACTTTAAATAAGACAGCTTGATGCACTTGGGCTACATAACAGTATTTGACTTTTCTTAAAAAATAAAATCAGAATTCATTTAATTTCATGGTGAAGTAATGCATAGAGTTTCCTCTGAAATATGGAGGATGTATTTCTATTGAAAACTTTCTACTTTCATCAAAGCCTGAGACTCAAGTCTCACCAGGCAATGGACAAAAAGATGGACAGGGAGCAGGCATCCATGTGTTTTCAATGGTTAAGTGTCCATGACAACAGGAAAAGAATGCCACAGCAGTGCGAGCAACACTGTTAGCAGACTCAAAGAGACTAGGAATAGAATTAGCCTAGCGATCAATCTCCTCTTTCCYTTCCTTCTTACMGACTCATTCTGAGCAGAATGAGGAGGCATTGCAGGAAGCACAGAACTGCCTCCACATCACATTTTATACCTGTTTCTGCACTGATGGGTGGCTGTGTTCTCAGTGCTGATGCTATTTAACAATCCAACACTTTAAGTACTTCCTTGAATTTCAGAAACAACTTATAAAAAAGTTCCCAGTAACACATGAATGAGTAAAAATATAAATTTGCATGCTAAGAATGAATATGCAGAAGCAAACCATTCCAATGAAATGTTTCTAATTACAGGAAGGATTTTTACTTTGATTKCATTTCAATACAATTTCTTGAGGAAAGAAACGAATTAACAGTAAGAAATACGTTTAATCCTGAATAGATTTGCTAATTTTTATTGTGTCCTTTTTTTGTCATTAAACTGAGAAATTGCTAAATACTAGGAGGACAATCAACACCCTGAAAACGGCAATAAGAGAGTTGTAATTAGAATATTTGAAATACTAAACCACTAATAAGTATTTTCCATTAGTGTATGTATTTTTTATATTTTACTATTACATTTTATTTTTGAAATTTTTTTATGGATATTGGAACAAAATTGGATGATATTATAGTTAGAACAATTTTTTTTTCTATTTAAACCCAGAGAGCGTTTTCTGCTTTTATAATAACCAATAATAGAGCATAGGAATTACTAGAAGAGTACTTTCTTAATTTACTATAAGATCATTCTGGGTTAGAGAGGTTCCTTGGTAATTCCATGATTAACCTGCCTGAGATGACGTTTAAGGTGCTCTATTTGATACTGAAAACCACTCTTTATGTACTGGTATTACAACCAGCATATGTATACTGAGGATCTACCATTACACTCCCAGATCATTTATAGTCAGTAAACTTTGCGAACTTCTGTTCCATTTTTTTTTTATGTTGAAAATAAGGAGACAAGCCACTCTACTTGAAAACATGAAATCATCGATTCACTCAACAATGATACATTCAGAATCTAAGACATGCCAGGCACTGTTATAATCAATAGGGATGCAGTAGTAAGCACAAAAATAAATACCTGCATAAAAATGTTTTT